CTGCAGTCAAAGAATCTCTCCTGCATGTTTTCTTCAGCATTCTTCTCTTCCTTCTCCCTACCTTCAGAACTACTGGCTCCTGGAAAGTATAAACTGATAGACTTGTCTCCCCCAAGCTTCTTATTTTTAAAGTGCCTACTGTTTTCTTTCTTATCTTGCCAAAGGGGCGGGGGGGGCAAGACTTCGGGATGATCCTTTCAAATAGAAATGGCCCAAGACCACATAGCAAGTAAATGTGGAGTTGTGCTACATCACACCTAGGACGAAACTGCTATAGCCTGACCAAAAGAAGTACTGCCTCTACTATATTAATCTCACACATTAAAAAAAAAAAAATTCAGCTGAATAATCTCATAGTGAAGTAGGATTAAGATCAACGTGTTTTAGGCTCAAGGGCTGCCATAACATTTAATCCTGTTTCTCCAGTCATGTATTGAAATGTATTTATGAAAAGTCGATTTTATCAGTTAATTAGCTGGTCCTTAGGAAATTACTTGTACTTCCTTCAGTTGTTCCATTCTTCTTGAAACACAGATCTAAAGAGAATACTTCAAGGGGAAAATGGGACCATTTGGATTTTAAAACAATAGTCTAAATTATATTTGGTATGGAGACCATAATTTTGAGTAAGATTTTATCATGCCCTCTCTTCAGCATAAAGTATTATAGTTATTTAAGAAGCTAACAGGTAGATATTAATAACATCACAGTGGAAACAACTGAGTGAGATTAAAAAAATCAGAACTGAAATCTGCATTTAAAAAAACTGCTATTTACCTATGCTAAAATCTAGTAATAACACTTTTAAGTACCCAAGCAATCAGTTCAGAAAAACAATGGAACACATCACTTTACTTCCACATCAAATCACTCCAAGTTCCAGTCTTATTCATGGCTTTGATTTGCAGTTAAATCTGTGAAAATGTACAGTAAAGATGTATATACGTCTATGTACTGACCCAGATTCCTTGGTTTAGTAGTTTATGTGTTAATGTACATATTTAGTAATAAATACATTTATACAGATATATACACATACACAAACACTTGCTTATAAATATACAGGATACAGGTACATAGTTTTAGCTGTATACATACTAATGTGCCTTCTAAGAAACATGATGGTTTTTATAATTTTTTTGTTTTATAATTTCTCTCTTCCAAATTCTAGATGGAAAAACTCAAAGCCCCAACATAGTTAATAACTTTCTCAGGATCACAGAAGGAAGAGAACAGAGGTGTTGGACTGACGGTCTGGCAGTTTCCCCAAGACTTTCTTGAGAGTCATCTGTAGGTATCTGGAATAATGGAGAGCCTTGAATATACCTGAACATGTGAGTATTCCCCGGCTCTGCAGGGAGTGCTCCTTTAAGGATATTATTTTATACTATTTTTTCTTTTTTCTTTTTTTTTTTTTTGAGTTGGAGTCTCACTCAGTCACCCAGACTTGAGTGCAGTGGTCGCTCCCGGCCACTGCAGCCTCGACCTGCTGGGCTCCAGCGATCCTTCCGCCTCAGCCTTCCAAGTAGCTGAACTATAGGCGTGCGCTACCACGCCCGGCTAATTTTTTTGATTTATTGTAGAGATGAGGTCTCGCCAAGTTGCCCAGGCGGGTCTCGGACCCGCGGGCTCAGGCAATTCACTCACCTCGGCCTCCCAAAGCGTGGGATTACAGGCTAAGCCACCAAGCCCGGCCCACTATTTTTTCTTCACTTCGCCTTTCTCACTTCCCATTTGCCCCCAAGTCACTAGTCAGTCTCTCCAGCTAGCTGAACCTTTTATTATCCCCTCTGTAAAATAAAGGGGTTGGGCAAGACTGTCTCTACAAGGGATGTCCAGTTCAAATAATCTGGGATCTTCAGGATTAACTCTTGGACCAAGGGACAGTGAGGGGCACTGGCAGAACCCCTAGGTCTATAGGTTTCTATTCATTTGAATTTGACCTTTAAGAATTTCCAGGTAGAGTATGCTTTACTAATGTCTATATTTGTGAGAAAGAGGTGAAATCTCTATAGTTAGAAGTATGCTGGGCATTTCCATAAGACTTGTAAAATCAATGGTTTCATTTATTCAAGTCACACTTAAGGATGGATGCCTATGGGTAGGGGACCCAAATCTGAAAAATTTACAAAATATAATCTCTTCAGAAGTTCAGCTTATAGTGCTTACTTTTAAAAAGTCATAATCTTTAAAACTGATATTCCAAAATAAAAATGATTGCCCATATTACTTAACCTTTTTCTTTTACACACACATACCACACACACACGCTCACATACATATGGCAGAAAATTAATAAAATAATTGTTCGGGGCATCTGACTATTGCCAGTGGCCACTCGTGTGAACATTTGTTACACACATTTCTGATAGCTTAGGAAAAAGGTTTGATTTCCCCTGATAAAGATAAGTTTGGTTTATAGTTCATTGATTAAGTCAAACTAACTCACACAGTTTCATCAAATTTGACTGAGTTTCTTTCCCTCTCCTGAAAAAATCATGGGCTCTTCCAGAACATGACTGGAGTGGAACTGCTCTTCAACACAAGGCTGTTTAGTGCGCACAGAGAAGTAAGAGCATGGTCCAGCTGTGGGCTCTGCCAGCTCCTCCCACACCCCTTCCCCCCACCCCCATGCTTCTACACTGTCATTCTGAACTGCAGTCAAACATAATAGCAAGAATAAGTGGTTCAAGGATGCACCACCCCACACTTGTGTTCTTGCCTAACCTCTTAGGCAAATCAATCTATTTAAATCTATCCTCCAAGAAATAAAGAGCTAGAGAGAGGGAAAGAATTATTAAAAGACTTTTCTAGACTTACTCAGCCATCTGTTTTATCCTTAAAAGATAGAAAAGCTCAAACTTAAGAAGTTAAAGCAAAAAGCACACAAAGTAAAAAAAACATCATACTTGGTAAGCAGAAACATCTCCCAAAGCACCTCCATTTAAGGTATGGAATTTTAATTAAAGAACTTAGCACAGTCTATTTGCTGAGCAGAAATTATTTCTTAGGAGCCAAAACACATTTATTGATTTCTTCACTTTAGCCTATTCCTACAGATAAATATCTCTCCAAATATAAATCCTGCTTGCTGACAAAGAACATACCCTTGCTTCAGCACATGCAATCAATTTGAATGCAGTCCGTCTCATCTCCCTTTTAACTCTTTTGGGTTACAGAGAAACAAACAAAAGTGTCATAAAAGCATTTCAAAGAACCTCTGCCAAGAAAGCCACCTCCCAAGCAGACTGCAGTTTATGCTGCTTTGAGCAAGAACTGGAAAGGCTGGGCCAAATTGTCAACACAGAACAAAGTTGGATTACAAACCCTGTCTTTCATCTTATACACACACACACACACACACACACACACACACAATTTGTGTTATCTTTAGTTAGCCTTTCGGTGGCAAGCTTCCCAATCACTTGAAAGCAATCAACAGGCAATAATTAACATACATTTACTTTCTATAGAACACATCCACAGCAAGCTGTGACAAAGCTAAGGTAACCATGCATCTGTGGGTTATAGTTTATTTCCTTTTAAAGTTTCATGGCATTGTGCCTTGGACATGAGGCCTATCATTAAAAAAAGTTTAGCTGAGCCGGGATCGGTGGCTCAGCCTGTAATCCCGTGCTTTGGGAGGCTGAGGTGAGTGGATTGCCTAAACCCGCAGGTTCAAGATCCGCCTGGGCAACTAGGCGAGACCTCATCTTTACAATAAATCAAAAATTAGCCGAGCATGGTAGTGCGCGCCTGTCGTTCCAGCTACTTGGAAGGCTGAGGCGGAAGGATCGCAGGAGCCCAGTAGGTCGAGGCTGCGGTGGCTGGGAATGTGCCACTGCACTCCAGTTGGGGTGACAGAGTGAGACTCCAACTCAAAAAAAAAAAAAAAAAGTTTAGCTGGTACCTCTGTTCTTTTGTTTAGTAGATTTAGAATACCCAGCATTTATTTAGACTCAAAGATACCCTCTCTCTGGTGGCATTTCTAACACACATACACACACCAGAGATAAAACAAAGCTGGAAGAATTTGTTGGTGCAAAATGAGAAATTGAATCTTTGCATGGCTCAGGTGCTTGCTATTATAAACTATGACTAAGAGACATGAATTTCTCTATGATGCAACTCTCAAGAGAGGCAGCATTTTCTCCAGGCCTCTCTTAAACCTGCTCATTCGCCAGTGACTAATGCTCTCTAGAGCAGCCCTGTGCTGCTCAAATTTCATCAGCTAGCTTTGTCCTTGATAGCTCTGCCTGGACCATAAAAGCTCCCAAACCTGTTAAGGACAGCCCCAAAAGAGATGTGCAAAGCTAACCATGCCCCTGCCAGCACTGAAAGCCATCTTTTGAGCTTCCCACTGCATTTGATTATCTCAAGTAATGAGCACTTAATGACCATTTTAAGAAAAAAGTTTACTCTTCTCTGAACAGGAAAGCCATGAACGGCAACTACATGAAAAATAAGAGCAAATCAGGTTAATCTGTGACCATCCCTTCAGAGACAAAATTGACAACATGTTGGATGAAACTAAAATTAACTGGAATTTTCCATTAACTAATCTCTGCACCTTTAAAAGAAAGAAGAATGTCACATTTATGATTCACATTAAAGACTTAGTTTATAAAACAAATAACGTAAACTATAAAATAATGTCTTATTAATAGATGTTTGGTCCAACATCTTATATATTATGTCAGTTAATTTATAGCTTTGAGCTTGAAGTCTTGCAATATAATATTCTTAAGGCAAAAAGATATTTAGGATGAAATTATGTTCAGTAAGTAAATTTTACCTGCAATAGAGTAGAAGCACTTTAGAAATCATTTTAATAAGAAATAAAGCAAAAGTTTTCACGGTTAGCTCAAATTATTAAAAGAAACTAAATGCATACCACTGTCCAAATCTGCTGGCTATAGCTGAAAAGAATATTCTAGACATGGATGATCCAAGACCAAACAATTTCAGAACAAATGTGTCACCACCAGAAAGGTACTTACAGTTATCAGACTGAAAATCTGGGACAAACTGTTCATCATCAGGAACTTGTGCTGGAAAATAGATTTTTATTTTAGACCTTTAAGTTTTATTAAAAAGCACAATAAAATGTTTTATATGGAAAATAGGACATCCAAGAAACTTGCCTTCAGCTAACCAAGCCTCTTGAAGTTGACTGAGATCCTGAAACAACTCTGAAATTGAAAACAGAATAGCCCAGAATGAGGATATTTCTTCTAGAAGAAGAGGGAGAAAAGTCTACATGCTGCTGATACTGGGAGTGATTCGAGGAAGCCACAACATAGGAAGGGAAAGCTTCACTACCTTCAGAATCATGAGCCAGATCTGTGTCCAAAAACTTCCTCTTTCTGTCAATCACAGGCCGCCCTCTACATTCCTCAGATCGAGATTTCTGAAAGAGGCCAACAGACAGTGAAGACTCAAGCGTAGTAAAGAGGCCAAAGGGGGTCAACCCCGTAAACCAATAAGGAGTCTCATATTGAAGAGGAAGGACAAAACAAACCAAAAGCCACATAAACTTACCCCTGGGACCATAAAAGGAACTTGCTGATCATAAAACCCATCCATGGTGTTTCCAGCGTCTCTAAGATCACTTTGAAAGGTTTCAGCATTGAGTAATTTCTAGGGGGAAAGGATCCTCCTGTAATACAAATTTGGGAGATTTTAACCAAGGGGGAAAAAGAAATGAAACAATTTTATACTGCTTTTTCCTAGGGCTCATGCAAAATCACTATCCTATGAAGCACTTAAAGCCTACTCAAGGTGTGAGCTTTACAGACCAATGCTGGGCTTGATTAATGGTATCAGAGGTGCACAATGTACCTTAGTGCCAAATCCATTTACCCAGTCATCATTTTATTTCTTTTCTTAATCATTAAAATTAAAGATTTGGTACTGTCTGTCCCCTACCAAAACAAAACAAAACAAAACAAAACAAAAAATCCACTGTATTTTCATTATAAAAGGGTGATTTCAAGATTCTCTCATATAGAAAATCCTCCAGGACATTTGTAGTAGGGTTTTCAAAAAAGAGATAATTTTTGACAGTACAGTGACAGGAAGTAGAGAAACTTTCACACACAACTCTTTATTTAAACCTAAACCCCTATCCAAACAGATTTGTGTCATGTCACAAATATCTCCTTAGCAACTCACAAGATATGTGATATCACTAACTTTTAAAAGAATAAAATATCTATGAAAATAATGAATAAAGGAAACGAAATTCCACTGCATATATTTTAAGTGCATCTCTAACAAAGCCCTTTTAAAAAGCATTAAAAGCAAAAGGTCCATAGAAAGAAAATTCAGTTTGTTGCTTACAGTGAAGTCAATTTTCCTAAACATACCAAAAAAATAAAACTAAACTCATTTTAGCTCTGGTAAGTGCTGGAGCTAGGAAAAGAGGCTAAGGGTCAAAAGAGAGAGGAGAGAGCTTTTTCTAATTTGGGAGGAATTAAATAACAATTTTAGGAAGGTATCTTCCTGAACTACTTTATTCTTTAACTAAAAACACAGTTATGTCAACAAAATGAGAGCATTAATTTCACTCATTCTAGCTCTAAGTAATGCAAAAATGCTTAACGAATAATTTCTTTTGTTTAACTTGTATACACATTTTAAATAGGAAACTTTCCCCCCACAGTGGACAATTCCATCCAATTTGTTTTTCACACTGTGTGGAGCATATCAAATTTTCATAAGTGAGCAGGATACAAGGAAACCCTTCACAGCCAGTCTCCTCCTCAGCACTTTGACCCAAGTAATCAGATATTTTTCAAAGTCAAAGGAAAGAGAGGAGCAAAACAGCACGCAGTTCATAACTTCCTAGAAAAACACTCCTGCCAACCTGCCTGCGTGCCTTCCAAACAGCATAAAAACGTTTAGAATAAAGCCTCTTCCTCAAATGTCATCAACCCGTATACAAAACCTGAGAAACCTCAGCAGTGAGCTGAGGGGCATGAAAAAGAGTTCTCTGTCGCCTATGAAAATCTGTCAGATTAAATTGTGGCCTTAAAAACTCTGCACATGTCTGATGTGGGGAAGGGGAAAACAAGTAAGAGACCGGCGGGGGAGATATTTTCGGCGTCTCATGACGAAATGCTTCATGAATGCCCTGAAGAGCAAGAATACCTTTTTTTAAAAAATCAAAGAAAAGAAACTGCCATCAACAAATCCAAAAGAAGCACTGATGAGGATCTTAGAGCAGCTCTCAGAGTTCAAGGGCTAGAAAAACTGCGTGCAAAGTATGATTTTTGTTCAAAAGCCTGAAGGAAAGCCTCGAGTTCGTCCAAGAGTTTAAACCACTTCCTTTGTGCCCCCCCTCCTCCCCCCACCCCCGCCGTGCCCCCAGGAAAACTTTAACGCGGCGCGGCGGCGCGATCCAGGCCCCTCCCCGTGGCGCGCAGCGGGCCTGGTTTTATGAATGGAAGAGCGAGCCGCGGCCGCCACATCAGGTAGAAGCTGTAACTGGATCTCTCGCGCAGGGCCCCATTCACAAAACAAGACACACTTCCACCCAATTCCCAGCCTTCCCCATTCATGAAAACTCCTTCGGCTGCGCCCCCACCCCCACTCCCAACGCATGCCCAGCCTCCGACGCAGGCCCCTCACCCCAGCGTTTTAGGAAGAAAGCTCAATGCTTCATTCACAAAAAGGGAAGGGAAAAAAAAAGCCGCAGGGAGCAGCGAGCCAACGCGAGAAACCCGCTTCATTCATAAAGTCACCCACATTCATAAAACGAGGTGCGGCGCCAGGCTCAGCCGGTCGCCTCTAATCCACCCCCACCCCCACAGCTCTCCTTGGCACCTCCTCCCTGACCAGGAGTTCGGTTCCCCCCAGTTTTCTCCCCACTCTGAAAATGCGGAGCACCCCCCCCCCAATCCAGTGCGAGTCTCCAGCATCTCTCCGTTCCCCCTCCGCGCCCGTTTTTTTCCCACCCTCCCCAGGCCGCCGTGCTGGTGCTCCCCAATGATTCTCGAGAGTCGCCGCGCAGCCTGCCGCCCTCAGCCCGCTGGGGGTGGGAGAAGGGGGACGGGGTGTCCACTTTCCAAAACCTGAAACTTGCAAGGCTTGCACAAGTTCCTGGTCGACCCCCACCTCCGCAGGCTGCACATGCCTGTGTCATTTAACCCCTCCTGGTGCTGGGGGGGCAGGACCTCTCAAATATTCCCCCCAAACTGTCTCCTGCCCCCTCCTCCCAACTGCAAAGCTCCGCCAAGCGTCTCTTCTCGCGAGCCTCCAAGTCCCCTCGGGGCTCTTAGATCTCCAGAGACTGTAAAGCCTCGCAACTCTGCGCTCCCCCATTTCCACCAGGAGCCCCCGCACCTCGCGCTCCGGCGCGCCTCCCCCACGACGTGCGGAAACCTGCTCTCCGCGCGCTCCGGAACCGTTAGCCGCACCCGCCGGACGCCTCCCAGGAACCAAACCGAACCGGGCTGCGGGGGGAGGGGGCGGTCAGCCTGGAGGGGGAGCTCACCCCAGACAGGGCACCCCGACTTTGAGGATTCTAAATCAGCCCCTGAACTCTCGCCCACGGGGCCTTTCGGCCCCATTGCTGGACGCCCCCTCCGATTACCCCTGCCCCCGCAACGCCCCCTCACCTGAAGCAGCCGCTCTCTTACCCCTTGCAGCGGCCCCGGCGGCGCAGGCGCGCTCACGCACGCGCGCACCGGGCCTGGGCGCCTAGGCGAAAGGCTGGGCCGGACCGCTCCGGAGACGGCGAACCGCTCCGCGCACCAGCGGCTGGACTCTGCGCCGCAGCTGCCAACCGGGCTGGAGCGCTGGCCCGGCCCCCGGCGGCCCGCTGCTCCGCCCACCGCCATTGGCCCGCGGCCCTAGCCAAGCCTCGTTCCCATTGGCCCGAGGCCGTTCCCGCAGCTGTCCATCACCCCTTGTTTACCCTGTCTGCGGGCAAATCCAGCCGAGCCGCCCCATCAACTCCAGCCCCCATTGGCCGGCGGTACGTCTCTCTCCACCCCCTCAGGGTCTGTTTTACATAATTTATGCACCGGGGCCCACTAGCCAATCAGCACAGACTTGTTTATATAATGAATGTAAGGACGTTTTTCATTCATAAAAAACGCGACCTGAGGGGGAAGCTTAGCTGAGTCAGTGAAGCACTTAAAGGGGCCGAGGCCAGGAGGAGTAGCCGTTACTTCCCTTCTCGCCGCTCTTCCGACTTTTTCACCGAGGCGTGATCTTTTTGGCCCCCTTCCCCACTCACCCCCCACTTCTCCAATCCAACAACGCCACGGCCAGGATTGGGTCGCTTGGCGCCAGACGTTCGCAGCTGCAGCACCAAGCAAAGTTATCATTTTAGAATTCAGGCGAGAGGAATTCGTCATTCCACACAGTGAGAAACTCGCTGACCGACCTGGGCGTCCATTCCACAGAAACACAAAAACCGGAAACCGAGCCCTGTAATCTTAGTTACCTTTGAGAGAGGCCTTAATTTCTTCTAGCCAGGTTTCCAGTGGCAAGAATAAGCCGCATATCACTTTAAAATCTGAGCTCTCAAACAGATTTTTAGTTACTGTTTTATAAAGGCAAGGCCTAAGGCCCCACCAGATCCCATCTTCTCTTTATATTTAATTGCAGGTCGTAACCATCTCCATCAGAGCAGGTTCTGGAGCTGAGGTGAGAGAGGGTTGGGGCTGAAAGAAATCCCCTCCGGGGACAGCACCAGTCAGGCAACCGACCTAGAAACACAAATCCCTGCGAAACAGGCATGTAAAGTTAAACTGCTTGCCTGCCTCCCTCCCCGGGCTGCTTGTTTTCCATTTAAGTGTTGAATGCAAGATGGTGTATTTGCGAATTAGATCCCGTGCAGCTGGGAACGCCGAGAAGCGGCTCTGCTTGCCAAACGTTAGGGCACTAACTGCAATTGCTGAGATTCTTAACAGGGTGTTCCAGGAAACAAATAAACAAGCGATCGTCTCCCCTCTCCGCCCCCTCTGCCCCCTCCCGCGAAGGCCGTGGGGCGGCTCTGTCCTCTCCTCCAGGATGCTTGGGGGCCTGGGCGGCAGCTCTTCTGTTCTCGATCTGGTGCTGTGCCCCGCCATTCACCCCAAGTGCCATCAGTGGAGTGGAAAGATGCCAAATGTCAGGAGAGAGCCCCTAGCAAAGGGGGCCCCCAGAGGAGCCAACCCTGGGGCTGCCCCCATCTCCTACCGTGGGGAATGCAGTGTGGATTTTTTAGGGGAAGAAATCTGTCAAGTCAAAATTTGCCCACCTTCTTTTCAACCTCTACTTGTATCTCTTGAACAGAGCAGGTGCTTGGTCTGTCGTGTACAAACCTTGAATGTGGTGGGCACCTAAGGAACCTGGAGCATCCCTGGTGAGTCCTGGGCCTGGAACTGACCAGCCCTGCGGTATTGACTTAGCCAGAGACCAATGGGCATGAGTCGATAGGTAGAAAGCGCTCTGAACTTTTACCACGCAGCTCCTTGATATTTAATTTCCTGGTTGATTATTCTGCTTCCCAATCCAGTTTTCTCTTAGTGCCTTTCTTTATTACCCAGGTAGCACCCTTTCTGTTTGGTGCCTGGAGTTTCACCCTAGTCCAGTTGTGCTCCACACTGCCGCTGACATCCCTGAGAGTTGTCTCCTCAGCTGGATACAGGGTCCAAGTTAGCTCCCAGATCCTCCTACTCCCCAGCTTTGTCTAACCCTATTCCCACTCATCCCCTATTCTGTCCCATATCATCCTGCTCTCTAATCTAGTTTTCCCACAAGAGCTTTCTTATTCCTCTTTGCTTAAGTCTCTCGGGCCCCAGCCCTCCAGATAGCTTGCAGCGCACAGGGCCACATGTCCTCGTCATATTAACCATAGCACATCAATCACACTTTATAACTTTGTCTACAGGAGAACAGAGCAGGATGCTTCATGGCAGCTTCCTTCACACAGAGGACTTGATGCCTGGAGTGTGGCTCTTGTGACCTTTGCTTCAGGCCAAGGTTTTCCATCTCATCTTGGAAAGAGAAGTTGGATATTTCTGGATTGGGTGGTAACAAAAAATAGTGACTAAATTGGGGCAGGAGAGGAATTGGATGATAGATTTTTAAAAGAAGGTATTCATGAATACATGATCATGTATAGGGATTTACACCAGAATAGAGTGATTGGCAATTCATTATTTTGTCATCCAGTAAACATTTATTTTGTACCAAATGTTCAGTCAGACCCTGTGCTTGGCAAAAAAGTTACAGAGATGAATAAGATCCAGTCTTTATCTTGGAGAAACCCATAGTCTACTGCATAATTTCAGTAGCTGAAATTCACTGAGCACTTTACATATAACCTGTCCATGCCATATACAATTCTCCACAGATTATCTCATTTAATCCTCATAGTATTATTAGTACTGAAGTGGTCAGACTAGTCATATTTCCATCCTATAGATGGGAAACTGAGGCACAGTGAGATTAAGATGTGTGCCATTGGTCACAGAGCTTGTATGGAGGTTGCTGATCCTAGGTAAGAACCAGGTGGTCACACACCAGAGCCCACCTGCAGGTAGACCTAGCATATGTCTCTGTTGCTCAACAAACCACCAGGAAACATCATTTGAATGCAAAGTGGTAGAGGACAGAACTGGCCAAAGTCAAAGGGAGGCAGATTTTAGCTTTGTATAGTGTTAAGAAGGACTTTGGGATATTTGAAGCAATCCAATGAAGGAATTCTGTATCTGGTAACGAGTCTCCCATCACAGGAAGCATGTATACAGAAAGATTTAGGAATGGGGTCGAGAGACTACTGCACTGGCCAGGACAGATGAGCTCTGAGGACTATCCCAGCTCTCAGAGTCTGTGATTCTGGGAATTCGGAGCCTTTTGCTGGACAGGGAGGTCTAGCTCTGGGCACAGGTGGGTTGGCTCTGGCATGAAAAGCAAGGGTACAGCCTGTAATGACCTGTATTGGCAGGCCAGTTCCTGGCCTTGGGTTGGCTCCTTATTATTAATTGTTTATTGATATCTTCTCTCCATTTCTCTTCCTTTTTTTCCTTCTGCTTCTCTTTATGATTTATCTTCCCCACCATCTTCTTCTCTTTGCCTTCATAAGAGCTAGGGTCAGTATTTGAAAGTTCTTTGTTGGGTACATTGAGTCTTTCCTTCTAAGAACATTACTTACATTGGAGGGTTGGTCAAGCATGTGTTCTAATTATCGTTCCCTCTCCTTCAGGAGAGAAACAGGATTGGAAAAGAAAACAAAGGAGAGACCAGTCCTCTGGAACATTCATTTAGCCTTTGTCCTCTGGCAGTATCAAAATTCACTTAATCACAGTAAGATAACTAGAACCCTGTTCTTTAAACTCAATTTACAGTGTGTCTTCAGGTAAACAATGTAGAAGAATAGAAAAGAAAGTACCTCACTCATGCCTGAGAGCTCTGTTGGAAAAAAGAGCTTTCAAAGTTTTCTCCTAAAATGCCAAAAGCAAGTGAAAGCATAAGACAGGCAATCCTTTCTTGAACTGATCACCAAAATGATGGTGAGAAATGTGAAAGCATCATGATCTTGGTCTCTCCCAGTGGCAAAATGCCTCCTGTTCCTTTGTTAGAAATGCCTCAGAGAGTGTAGGCTTGCCTAGAGGCTGGGGTGTGGGCCACACAGACCCCAGGGCCCTTTTTTTTTCTTGTATAAGTGTGGAAGAAGGGACTTGAGGACAAGGTCAAAAAAATATGGAAACATGTTTCTTTTCTTCAGGGGAGAGGTAAAGAGTTCTATCTTTCCCTCTAAAATTCAGAAATACAGTCCCTGAAAACTGAGGGGAGGAAAAACAATCTTTTAGATTCAGTGTACTTGTAAACAAATAGGGGTTATACTGTCTTCAGGGTTTCTTCTAGCTAGGGAATAGCTGGCATTTACTGAGTACTTAATATAAGCTAGACACTTTGCTAAACACTCTACATGTATTAGTCCCAGCTACAGCTCTCTGAGGGAGGTGTTGTTATTATCAACTCCACCTTTCTTTTTTTTTTTTTCCGAGTTGGAGTCTCACTCTGTCACCCAGACTGGAGTGCAGTGGCTGCTCCCAGCCACCGCAGCCTCGACCTGCCGGGCTCCAGCAATCCTTCCGCCTCAGCCTTCCAAGTAGCTGGAACTACACGCGCGCTACCACGCCCTGCTAATAATTTTTTGATTTATTGTAGAGATGAGGTCTTGCCAAGTTGCTCAGGCAGGTCTCGAACCCGCGGGCTCAGGCAATCCACTCACCTCAGCCTCCCAAAGGCACGGGATTACAGGCTGAGCCACCGAGCCTTTCATAGATGAGGAAGCTTAGGTACAGAAAATTTCCATAAATTGCTCTAGGTTACATAGCTAACACATAGTAAAAAAGGGAGTGTGCCCAAGTGGGCTCCTCCAGAGCCTGGCCCTCTGGAGCCTGGCCGTGAGCCCTCTGCTGGGCTGCCTCTGCCGCGTGGAAGTTGTATGTGCTTCAAGACAGCAGTCAACATTGAGAGAGCACTTCACTGTGTCAGGTCCTGTTTGGGGCTTTGCTTATATTAGCCCACTTGATCATCCTCACAACCCTGTGATGTAGATTCCATTATTATCCTGATTTTATAGCTGAGGAAACTGAGGCACAGAGAGGCTGGGTAACTTGCCCAACATTACGTAGCTAGTAAGAGTTGAGCTCAGGTGCCAAATGCAGATCTCGAACAGAGACCTGGCTCTTGTACTCTCCGCCATGTTGCCATGTTGCCGTAGTTCCTGCAATCTCTCACTCCATTATCTTGCCTCATCTTG